AAAAAAAAAAAAATCCAAAACAATATGATAGGAGATACCAATGATTAATACACTGCATATTATTATCTTTAGTTACTCAAAGTACAAGATATCAGCATGTAATTATCCAAATAATATTAGTACAAACCTACCTTTTCAATGAACTAGGAGAAATTAGTAGTACAACCATCTGAGCGTATATATATATATATATATATATATATATATATATATATAAAATTTTTTCCTTTCTTTTGTCTTTTCCCTCATCCAAATTGTTCTTTCCCTTTGAGCAGTTTCTTCCCCTTTCACAGTATCTATTGGATGTGTTCATATTTCACATTTAACTGATTTGTAACCGATGGCTGTGAAACACATGAACTTTAGGCAAATGTCATTTTTTGGCTGCTGGGGCTTCCATGGTAAGCTAGAGCCTTGTTCTAGACTCTTAAGTCCCCCAGCCCCAGCCTGAACTGTAGGGCCATAATGAAGTCTGAGGGAGGTAAGGAGAGCATTTTGGAAAGAACCTGAGACGGTAAGTGAGGTGCTAACATTTGAGAGATGACTTAGATTTCACACATGACTGGCAGGATTGGAGAAGGGCTATCTGAGGAATCTGTATTTGTGTCTTTTCTATCCCATAGGTTCTCAAAGTTTAAGTGTCTCAGTGGAACAAAATGAGGATCAAGAAGCTTCACACTTAGCTAATAAGCCTCCTAACAGAGTTGGAGATAAACCTTGGACCCCAGGTTTACCTATTACCAACAAGACACACCCAGGCACTTCTCATGTTGAAGGACTCCTTGAGAAGAAACCAGGGTCTGTGAAGATCGCTAAGAGCGCTGTTACACCAGTAGTGCGCACCTAGGACTTTAAAGATAGACAAGTGTGCAACTGGGAGGCTGCTGGTGAAGCTGCCCCTCAAACTGCATTCCCCATTGTGAAGACTAATAAATCAACAGTACCCTTCACAGAGACCCCCTGACCCTAAAATACACCAAAAGACACCCATATTAGACACCCCAAAGAATCCAGTGTAACAGTGTATTCTGCTACATCCAACATCCCATTATAGGATGTCATTCAAAAATTAGCCACAACCCACCACTCCCTTCTTCCTCTCTGCGCCTAAGAGTAGTGATGGTGGAGAGTGGTCCACAGGCACATAAAAAGGGTACTGAGGCTGCCAGGAGCACCGTTCTCATCCAGCCTTTCTATAAATAATGCATTTTAAAGGGCAAGGAGAAAACAATGTATTTAGTGTTGGAACTCGAGCTGGTTGTTCTCTGGGTTAATGCTTTCATAGTATTTTCTGCTAAAAGAGTGACTGGGGTGAACATCAGAATCCAATAAAGACAACATTTCAGAAAGCCAGAAGATAAACGGTCTATTCTTTGGCCCACTCTGTTATCACTCAAGCTGATGAAGACTGGGGGATGGACGCAGTGGTGATGTCATCCCAAGCCAGGGAATGAAAGATGGGGTGGGTACGAGTCAGGCCAAGGTTTCATCTAAAACACACCCATCTTCTCTCTTAGTGTGAATTGGAATGCTCTCTAATACTTCATGGTTCACTGATTCCCCAGCAGTCTTAGTTCCATGCCCACCCAGTGGCCCTTGGCTTTTGAAGAAATCCAGAGCCACATCATGTTTCTGAATCTCTATCAAACTGAAGGAGCCCAAAGAAGGCAGGTCCGGGACCAATCATGTGAGAGAAGCAGTAAAATGAGATAAAAATGGGATATTTAAGAATATCTTATTAATGAAACCCATGTGGAAGCTCTAGAGTCTGTCCTTCCCATTGACACTAAGAATTAGATATGCCATTTTCTGCAAATAAGATTCAAATATTAATAAGTACAAATATTTAAATCTTCAAGACAACAGGCAGAACATGATTGTCAAAAAACTCAAATCAGACAGTAATAGTTCTTGGGATCTGGAGAGAAAGTGACATTATGTTAGAATTAGGAGAAATCTGGGAAAAGTGAGAACTGAATGGTATAGGATTTGGAAAATGAGATAAACGCAGAGTACATATTAAATAGGCAGAACAACATAAACACAACTTTAATATCAGTCTTAAACTCTTGTACTTGTTCTTTTTAAAAATTGTGATAAAATGTATATACAACGGCTTCCATTTTAACAATTTTTAAGTATAGTTCAAGGGCAGTAAGTATATTCACACTGTTGTGCAATCAATACCACACTGTAAATCCAGAACATTTTCAACTTGTAAAACAAACTTTAAATGGGTTAAAGACTGAAATCACAAAATGATTAGAAGAAAATATAGGGGCAAAGTTTTTGACATTAGCCTGGGAAATGATATTTTTGGATATGACACCAATATAGGCAACAGGGGCAAAAATAAATAAGTGGGACTACAGCAGAATATAAAGCTTCAGCACAGCAAACAGAATGGAGAAATAACCTATCGGGCGAGAGAAAACATTGGCAAAAAGTACTTCTGAGATTAATATCCCCAAATAAGGAACTCAGCCAACTTAATAGAAAGAAAACTACCTTACTAAAAAGTGAGTCAAGTATCTGAATAGGCATCTCTCAAAAGAAGACATACAATAGCCAACACGTATGAGAAAAAGTGCTCAACATCACTAGCAATTAGGGAGATTCAAATTAAAACCACAATGACACATTAGCTCGTACCTGACTGAATGACTGTCATAAAAAGAAGAAAGATAACCAGTGTTGACGTTGATGTGGAGAAAAGAGAACCCTATACACTGCTGGTAGAAATATAAATTAGTACAGTCTTACAAAAGATTATATGGAAACTCCTTAGAAAAGTGAAAATACAACTGCTATATGACCCAGCAATCCTGTACTGGATATATGCCAAAGAAAATGAAATCAGTATGTTGAATAGGTATTGCTATGCATTTATTTGTTACAGCATTTTTTATAATAGCCATGATATGGAAATAACCTAAATGTCCATCAATAAGATGAATAGATAAAAATGCAGTATATTTGCATAATGGGATACTATTTAGCCTTAAGATATATCCCAACATTTATGATAACATGGGTAAACTTGGAATGCATTATACTAAGTGAAACAACCTAGACACAGAAAAACACTGCCTGAGCTCATATGTGAAATCTAAAACACTCAAACTCAGAAGCAGAGTAGAATGGTGATTATTAGGGGTTAGGGAGAGGGAAAAATGGGGAGATGTTGGTTTAAGGGTATGAAGCTTCAGTTATGCAGATGATAAGTTCTGAAGATCTAACATACATACAATGTGACTATAGTTAATAACAACAGTATATAGAAAGTATATTAACATTTGATACGAGGGTAGATCTTAAGGGTTCTCACCATTAAAAAAGTATCTGTGGTGTGAGGGCTATGTTAATTAGCCTGATTCTGGTGATTATTTCACAATGTGAAGTTATATAAAAAGGTGGACACCTTCAATGCGGTACATTTAAGTTTTATATGTCATTATCTTCCCTCAGCCCCCGCCACCCACCATTCTGCTTTCTACAAATTTGACTAGGTGCTTCGTACAGTATACAGTCTATTTGTGACTGGCTTGTTTCACTTAGCATATGGTCAAGTTTCATCCATGTTATAGGGTGTGTTACAATTTCCTTCCATCACACTTATATACCGCATTTTACCATTTATCCATAAATGGACACTTTGGTTGTCTCTGCCTTCTGGCATATTATCATTATTAATGTTGTGATAAACATGGGTGTACAGATATCTTTCACACCCTTGTTTTCACTTATTTTGGGTATAAACCCAGAACTGAAACTGCAATATAATATAGTAACTCTATCTTTAATTTTTTGAGGAATCCCATATATAGTTTTCTACATTCCCACCTCCAGGCAAAAGCATTCCAGGTTCTCCACATCTTGGCTGACATTTGTTATCTTCACTGTTTTTATAATAGTTAGTCTAATGAGTGTACAGTATTATTTCATTATGGTTTTAATTTTCAGTTCCTTAATGATTAGTGATGAGCATTTTTATGTGGGTTGTTTTGCTATTTGTATAATTTTGGAGAAATGCTCAAGTCCTTTGATTATTTTTAAATCTACTTGTTTGTTGTTCAGTTTTAGGAGTTCTTTACATATAGTATTCTGGATGTCAATCCTTTATCAGACATTTCCCCCCATTCTGTGGCTTGCATTGTTAGTTTGTTGGTAAAGTCTCTTGAAAAAAAAAAGCTTTTAAATTTGATAAAGTCCAACTTAACAATTTTTTCTTTTATTCCCTTTCCTTTTAGTGTCCTACTTCAAGAAATCATGGCCAAACACAAGGTCATGATCATTTTGGCCTATGTTTTCTTTTTTAAGTTTTCATTTTAGCTCATAAGTCTACGTCTTTGACCTAGTAAGAGTTTATTTTTGCATATGCTATAAGGATCAAATGTCATTCTTTTAAATGTGGCTACCCAGTTTTCCCAGTAGCGTTTGTTAAGAAGACTCCCTTCTCCTTTGAATGTTCTTTGCACCCTGTCTAAATGCAATTGACCATCTATATGTGAGGGTTTATTTCTGAGAGTCCCATCTGTCCCACTGGCCTAGATGTCTATTTTTATGTTAATATCACACTGTTTTAATTGCTAGTTTGTAATAAGCTTTGAAATTAGCAGGTATGTGACTCTGCCAACTTGTCCCTTTCTTCCAAGATCATTTTAGCTGCATGGGGTCTCTTAAGATTCCATATAAATTTAAGATGGAAAAAAGGTCACTGATATACTGATAGTGATTGCAGTAAACCTATATCTATAGGCTTTGGGTAGTAGTGACGTCTTTTTTGTTATTTTTCTTTTTGAGACAGGGTCTCACTATGCAGTTCAGGCTGGACCTGAGCTCACTTTGTAGACCAGGCTGGTCTCAAACTTGTAACAATCCTCCTGCCTCAGCCTCCCGAGTGCTGGGATTACAGGTGTGCACCACCGCACCCAGCAGTACTGACATCTTAATATAAATCTTCTAATCTTTGAGCATGGAATGTCTTTCCATTTATATGTTGTCTTTAATCTCTTTCAAAAGTATTTTGTAGTTTTAGTGTTCCAGTTTGGATCCAGAGTGTCCCCCAAAGGCTCATGTGTTGAAGGCTTGGACCCTAGCCATGGCACCCTGGGTAGGTGGTGGAACCTTGGAGGTAAGAAAGGAAAGTAGGTCGCTGGGAACATGCCCTTGAGTGAGATATAGCACTGGGACCGTGGCCTCTTCCTTCCTCTCTCTGCTGCAGTGTGAGGCCTCCTTTGCCACGCACTCCTACCATAATGTACTATGCAGCCAGAGGCCCACAGCAAGAGGTCCAGTCAACTGTGATACTTGTGAAGTGGTGAGCTGAGGTGAACCTGACAGAGGACTAACATGGGTAAATTTATTCCTATTTTGTTCCTTTTGATGCTATTGTAAATTGATTTTTTTTTTTTTTTTTTTGGTACTGGGAATTGAATTCAGAACGATGTGCTTGCCAGGCAGGCACTTGTGCCGCTGAAGCTATATCCCTGGCTCTGTAAATTGAATTTTTAAAATTTCTTTTTTTGATTAGTCACTGCAAATTCTGATTCTATCCTATTTGTTCCATTTGTTTTATTTTCCTGAATCTGAATGTTGCTGTCCCCTACGTCAGTCAACTTTTTTTCTTTTGTACACAAGTTAGTCTTTGTCTTTTTCTTTATTTTCATTCAGTTCTATTAGTTTCCATTTTGCATTTTTCTGTATTATTCTATCTCTTCTCTGAGGTTTTTGTTTTGTTTTGTTTTTGGTGTTTTATTTTTATTTTCCGTGTTTTGGCAGTGGCAAATATAGAACCCAGAGCATTGTGCTCTACCACATAGCTAGACCTCCCAGCCCTCTTCCCTGAGTTTGTGAAATATTTGATTCATGGCACTCTTTCACATATATAATTGTTTTTAAAAAAATTTAACTACCATACATCAGAATATGTTACAATTTTTCTGTGCTTCATGGCATAATTTTTGGTACACATTTTCCTGTCCAAGTTTTTGTATTTTTACATACTATTGATTTTCACAGTGTCCTTGTAAAAATACTTTGCAGTTTTTCTCCTTCATATTAGAACTCCATGGACCAACAGTTAGCAGAGCAATTCTGTAATGTGATGGAGAAGACATTGTCAGGCACTTTTCACTTTTCTTAGTAAAGGGTTCCTTCTCTTGTTCCTCAAATTAAAGACAGCTTCTTTAGCATATAGGCACATTTTAGAGAAAGGTTTTACTTGCTCTTTCTGCCCTTGTTGTAATAGCTTCCTTAATGCCTGATGCATCTTTACTTTTTCTTCAGAAACTGGCTGCTGCTTCCACAGGATGCCACCACTGTCTATTGTGCCTCCTTTGCCATCAGAGGCAGCG